CCATCTGTAACTCTACCTATGAAATAAATAAATAAATCTTAAAAAAGAGCAATTTTATACATTGTCCAGTTTCAGTTTAATTCAGTGTTATTTTTTGAGCAGAGATGCTGGGAGGTTCATACAATTCTGGATACAAAACACCATCAGGTAGCTCAGAATCTACAGATCTAAACTCTGTAACTGTGGCATGGAGTGTGTGCTGTGATAGAAAGATGAATTGTGGAATAAAAGTAAATAAAAGAGTCTCTCCAGGGGAAACTGAGCCCCAGGAGGCCATACAACGTGATGTTATGTTAGAAAATAGGTCAAAATCTGATATTTAACTTGCTGAGTTTGTTTCTTAACTGGAAAATTCAAAAGACTATTATATATATCTAGAATGATAAATTATTAATTCATAACAAGGATTTTAACATTTCAGGGGATTAAATTCTCTTGTTATTCCAGTGAGGTCTCTCTTGACATAGTTAAATCTATGTGGAGGTCAAATTATAACCAAAAAGATGTTTGTGATACCTGAATTTGGAACAAGAGGAATTCATCCATAGATAGTAAAGAATTTTGATATTTTGGGGGCCAGCATTGTAGTGCAGTGAGTTAAACCACAGCCTGTTATGCCTGCATCCTATGTGAGTGCTCTTTGGAATCCCTGCTGCTCCACTTTCAATCTAGCTTCCTGCTAATGTGTCGGGGAAAGCTGCAGAAGATGGCCCAAAAACTTGGGTCCCTTCCACCCATCTGGACCCATTGAGGCCATTTGGGGAGTGAATCAGTGGATAGAAAATCTCTCTCTGTGTGTTTTCCTCTTTCTCTGTTTTTCTGCCTTTCAAATAAGTAAATTAATTTTTTAAAAAAAGTTTTTGATATCATCGAACAGTATATCAAGGAATACAGATGGTGCCATGTTTTGGGAATGATTTGTCTCTCAAAAGTTCACGTGCTTGAGGCTTAGCCCCTAAAGTGGCAGTGTTGGAGATAGTGCTTTTATGAGATGATGAAGTGGGGGCCTGTGTTTGTGGCATAGCGGGTAAAGCTGCCACCTGTGATGCTGACATCCCATGTGGACTCTGATTCAAGTCCCAGCTATGCTACTTCTGATCCAACTCCCTGCTGGTGGCCTGGGAAAAGCAGCAGCAGATGTCCAAGTGCTTGGGACTCTACATCCATGTCGTAGACCCAGAGGAAGCTCCTGGCTTCAGCCTGGCTTTGCCTTGGCCGTTGCAGCCACTTGGGAGTGAACCAGCAGATGGAAAATATCTCTCCCTGTTTCTCCCTCTCTCTGTAATTCATTCAAACAAATAAATAAATCTTTAAAGAATAAAAAGAGGAGATGAAGTTGCTAAGAGATTGATGCTTTATTTGTGGGAGTGAGTCTGGCTGTCTTAGAATTGGATTGGCTATTCTGAGGGCCAACTGTTGAAACTTGAGTTTGGCTTCCTGTACTTGCTGTCTTTCTTCCTCTCACCATGTGATCTCCTCCTCCCACAGTCACTTCTCTGCCCTGCTGTGTCACAACCAGGTGCCAGGGCCATGCTGCTTGGACTTCCCAGCCACCAGACTCATGAGCCAAAATAAACTTTTCTTTATGTTACCTGGAGTCAGGGATCCTTTTAGATAAAACAGGACAGTGGGTGTCCGTTAATGATCAACTTCCCTTCTTATGGATGCTTTCTCAGTTTTCTATTCTTTATGTGCTACTATTTTTTTTTATCAGATTGTGGTCTTTTTGGTTTGTGAATCCTTGGGTCTTTTTTTTTTTTTTTTTTTTGACAGGCAGAGTGGACAGTGAGAGAGAGAGAGACAGAGAGAAAGGTCTTCCTTTTGCCGTTGGTTCACCCTCCAATGGCCGCCGCGGCCGGCGTGCTGCGGCCAGTGCACCACGCTGATCCGATGGCAGGAGCCAGGAGCCAGGTGCTTCTCCTGGTCTCCCATGGGGTGCAGGGCCCAAGCACTTGGGCCACCCTCCACTGCACTCCCAGGCCACAGCAGAGAGCTGGCCTGGAAGAGGGGCAACCGGGAAAGAATCCGGAGCCCCGACCGGGACTGGAACCTGGGGTGCCGGTGCTGCAAGGTGGAGGATTAGCCTAGTGAGCTGTGGCGCCAGCCTCTTGGGTCTATTTCAAGTGTCAGCACATCGCTTTAAATTAGTTTGTCCTGATTGTGAGGTTTTAAATTCCAAAAGGCAAGCTTATTTTCCATAGGCAAAATTTGTAATGGGGATAGGGAAGTAGGGTAAAGAGACCTTGTTCCATCCCCTACTTGCTGGCAATGCAGACCAGGTGGCTAGGGTGGGCCCAGGTATGGTCCTGAGAGGCAGAGGGTCAGAGAGGGCTTCACATAGGTGATGAATTCTTGCCTGGCCTGACATGGTAATGAATTTGTGTTGGGCAGGAAGCAAATTTTGTCAGAGACACAAGCAGATTTGTGCCCCCTGAAAAAATGCCTTATTGCAGTGTATCCCATGCTGTGATAGAAACATCTGTGAGGCTTAAACTCAAAGGAGATATCTTTCAAGTACTGTTTACAGGGGCAAGTGTCATAGAGTAGCAGGTAAAGCTGCTACCTGTGAGGCTTATATCCCATATGGGTGCCGGTTTGTGTCCTGGTTGGTCCACTTTCAATATAGTTCCTTGCCAATGGCCTGGAAAAGCAGTGAAAGATGATCCCTGTATCCATGTGGGAGACCCGGAAGAAGTTCCTGGCTCCAGGCTTTGGTCTGGCCCAGCCCTGGCTGTTGCAGCCATCTGGGGAGTTAACCTGCAGATGGAAGATTTCTCTCTTTCTCTGTCTCCCTAACTCTCTCTATAACTCTTCATTTCAAATAAAAAATGTATTTAGAATATTTAAATAGCTCTCAAGTACGACAATAAAAATCAATTAAAAAGTGGGCAAAGGTGGCAAGCCTTTGGCCTAGTGGGTAAGATGCTGGTTAAGACACCCACATCCCACATTGGAGTACCTAGCTTCAGTACCCAGCTCCAACTCCTGACTCCAGCTTCCTACTAATGTAAACCATGGGAGACAGTGCTGGTGGCTTAAGAAGTTGGGTTTCTGCCACCCACATGAGAGACCTGGATTAACTTCTTAGCTACTGGCTTCCACCTGGTCTAGCCCTAACCATTGTGGGCATTTGGGGGAGTGACCCAGGGGACTGGAGCATGCACTCTTTCTGCCTCTCAAATAAAGAAATACTTTTAAAAAATTTAGTTATTTGAAAGGCAACCTTATATAGAGGGAGGCACACAGAGAGATCTTCCATCTGCTGGTTCACTCCCAATGGCCGAAAAGGCCTAGAGTGGGTCAGACCAAAGCCAGGAGCTTCTTCTGAGTCTCCTATGTGGGTGCAGGGGCCCGAGAACTTGGGCCATATTCTGCCACATTCTCTGGTGCATTAAGCAGGGAACTGAATTGGAAGTGGAGCAACTGGGACTCGAACCAGTGTTACACCACAACACTGGCCCCCAAGAAATAATTTTTTAATGAGCAAAAGATTTCAGCAGACACTTCACCAAAATTATTATCTGCATACTAATTAAGCTCTTGGACAGATGCTCAACTGTAGTCATTAGAGAAATGTAAGTCAAAACTGTATTAAGATACAATTTCATACCCACTTGAATAAGACAGTCATGAGTGTTAATAAAGATGTAGAGAAACTAGAATTTTCATTCAATGCTAGTAAGAATATAAAAGAATTGCAAAGCAATTTGGCATTTTCCTAAAAAGTTAAAGATACCCCTACTGTTCTACTCCTAGGAATTTACCCAAGAGAAATGAAAGCCCATGTATACACGAAGACTTGCAGACCAGAGTTCATAACAGATTTATGAAACTGGAAATAACCAAACAATTGTTGAATTAAAAAAAAAAAACAAATTGTGGCACTTTCATTCAGTGGAATACTATTCAGCAATAAAAGAATATTAACCATCCACAGTAGGGATAAATCTCAAAACAATTATGTTGAGTAAAAGGCATACTGCAAGATCCCATTCATGGCCGGCGCCGCAGCTCACTAGGCTAATCCTCCACCTTGCGGCACCGGCACACTGGGTTCTAGTCCCGGTTGGGGCACCGGATTCTGTCCCGGTTGCCCCTCTTCCAGGCCAGCTCTCTGCTGTGGCCAGGGAGTGCAGTGGAGGATGGCCCAAGAGCTTGGGCCCTGCACCCCATGGGAGACCAGGAGAAGCACCTGGCTCCTGCCATCGGATCAGTGCAGTGCGCCGGCAGTAGCACGCCAGCCGCGGCGGCCATTGGAGGGTGAACCAATGGCAAAGGAAGACCTTTCTCTCTCTCTCTCTCTCTCTCTCTCTCACTGTCCACTCTGCCTGTCAAAAAAAAAGAAAATCCCATTCATATGAAATTCTAGAAAACTCAAATACAGCAGCAGAGTGCAAAGTAGTGGCTTCCTGTGTATTAGTGGGACAGGAGGTAGGAGGGATTACAAAGGGGCAGAAGGAAACTTTTGGGTCTGCTAGACAAGTTTATCATCTTAATTGTGGTGATGATTTTACAAATCTATATGTATGTAAAAACGTTTCAGATTATACACTCTGCCTAGTTTATTGCGTGTAAGATCTCAAAAGTTGTAAAATAACAACAATAACAAAAATATGGTTAGACTGACATGATAGTTGAAGTTTGATATTAGGAATTCTCTGAATCTTCTGTGTAGCCCTTCTTCCCTGACAGTTGTCTGTGAATTACATACTATGCAGATAGAAGGCATACACAGACAGATTGCCATCAGCTGACAATTAACTTAATTCATTTTTTAAGTACTGTTTTTTAAAAAAAGATTTATTTATTTATTTATTTGAAAGTTAGAGTTACAGAGAGTAAGAGAGAGAGAACGATTGAGATCTTCCATCCTCTGGTTCACTCCCCAAATGGCCACAATGGCCAGAGCTGGGCCAGGCTAAACTAAATTTATATATATATTTAGAATTTAGAATATACTTAGAATATTTTTTTTGCAATCTTCAAAATAGTTTATTACAAAATACAGTACAGGTGTGCAGACTGTGCCCCAGAACCTCGAATGCACACAGCGCTGGAAGACGCCCCGCTGCACCCCCGGCGCTGCCGACAAGGACCTAACTTCTAGGACAACGCCAGCCTCCCGCGGCCGGCAGTGGAATGGGGATGGCAAGTCGCCGCCCACACGGTGCTCTGGCTGCTCTGCTATGACGTCGCTTCCCCAGGGGCTGAAATCCACATCCGTGGGCGACAACCCAGCGCGCTGGGACCTGCACGCGGGCAGACAAGTGGACTGGCCAACCCGACGCTGCCGGCCGCTGCTTCTTATTCCTGGGCTTCAGCTCTTCAGCCGAGTTACGCAGGAAAATGTAATTTTTCTTTTGGGGATTATAAAACTCATGTCCCTTGGACCAGTTGTAGCTGGAGGCGTAGGCGAAGATGTTGCCGTTGTGGTTGAAGCTGCAGGCTGCTATCGGCTGGTCTAACTGCTCTGAAGTTTTGAGTTTTGTTCTGGCATCTTTGTCCCAGAAGCTGAAGCGGCCGTCAGACCCCACGGTGGCCAGGGTGCCGTGAACGGGATGGAACACAATGCCATTGACCGCGTAGATGTCCTGAGGCACTGATGTGTTGGTCCCGTTGGAGCGATGACACTTAAAGGTGAAGTTGTCTTTGGCAGGATTCGGAGGGTTGATGTAGTGAATAGCAACTCGCCCCTCAATACTGCCCAGAGCAAATCCAGTTGGCTTGTTCTGTTTGTCTTTAAAAATAGCCACACATCGATGCCGGTGTTTCAGCGGGGACTCACTCTATCCTCCGGAACTCGGAAGGCTGGTTCTCCAACTGGTACACAATCAGGCCCCTCTCCGCGGTCGCCACCACGGCCATCGGGTAGATCACATCAGCACAGTAACACCTCTTGGGGAGCTGCGGAACCATCCTAGGATTTGACGACCGCGTATCCCAGAACTTCAGGGTCTTGTCCCAGCTCCCGGTCATCACGCAGCTGTAGTTGGGGGCTTTGATCCAGTGTATGGTTTTAACAGGAGCGATCTGAATTGCCTGATTGCTGTTGAGGTCCCACATTTTGGCAGTTTTATCACAAGATGCGGTGAACACTTTGCTCCTGTCGTCACTCCAGCAGACGTCGAGGACCGGCCCGGTGTGCATCTGCTGGGCTTTCGGGATGTTCTTTCCACTGTCCTGAACCTCCCAGCAGCGGACGTCATTGGCCCACGACCCTGCGATGAGGAAGTTCCCCGGCAAGGTCGGCGGGCTGAAGGACAGGCAGCCCACGCTGTCGTCGGGAGAAGACGTCACCTCGATGTCCTTCATGGGGTTGTGGTTATCGGTCGTCGTGCTGCCGAACATGCTGGTCCCGCTGGTCCCAAAGCCCGAGGATTTTAGATTGTAAATTACATATTTATATTATAAAGCCCAAAATAGACACCTTCCATCCCCAAACACAGAGTTAAATAAAATAATTCATTAAAGGAGGCAAAATGGAATTGTGAAGCATTCAGTTAACCCAAAAGAACCAGGAAAATAGGGAAAAGGCATATAGAACAGAAAAGAAAGATAGCAAATATCAGCAGAGTAGATTTAAACTCAAACATACCAATAATCACAGTGAATGTTAAAGATATGAATATCCCAATCAAAAGTCAGAGATCTTCAGATTGGATTAAAAAAAAACTAGATGCAACATTCATTGCCCATAAGAAACTCATTTTAAACATAAAAATACAAATATGATAAAAGTAAAAAGATGGAAAAAGACATATGCAAAGAAAAGTATTAACACAGCAAGCCTGAGTGCTAGCCATTGAAAGATCTGCTTGCAGGGGTGGCCTTGGCTGGCATCTGACAACTTGGATTTAGGAGGGTTTCACCACCCTAACTGGGCAACTGTGGTAGGCAGAAGTTGCCTACATGACTTGTCCAATAAAAACTGTGGGCACTGAATCTCCAACATGTTTTCTTTGTGAATAACATCTCACACATATTTTCACAGTTCGTTGCTAGGGGAATTCAGTGTATTCTGTGTGACTGCACTGGCAGATGATACTTAGAAGCTTGTGCCTTCTTCCTCCCATAGTTTGCCCTTTGTGCCTCTCCCATTGGGTGGTTTTGTGGAGCATCCTTCCACTGGGATAAACCACAGCTGTGAGTATGAATACACACTGAACTCTGTGAGTGCTCCCAGAGAATCAGTGAACCTGACGGTGATCTGGGGACCTTTAACACCAATCAAAAGAAACCTGGAGTGTCTTTATTGATATCAGATCAAGTAGATAGATAGAAAGAAAGAAAAATTGCTAGTGATAAAAAAGTACTATTGATAAAGAGAGCAGCTTCATAGCAATCAAAAGGTAAATTTATCAAGGGATTTAACAATCCTAATATTTATATATCTAATACCAGTGCTTCAAAACACATTGAACAAAGAGAAATAACAAATCCAAAATCCCTATTGGTAGATTTTAGTATCCTTCGCTCAATAATTGATACAACAGGCCGGCGCTACGGCTCACTAGGCTAATCTTCTGCCTTGCGGCGCCGGCACACCGGGTTCTAGTCCCGGTCGGGGCGCCGGATTCTGTCCCGGTTGCCCCTCTTCCAGGCCACCTCTCTGCTGTGGCCCGGGATGCAGTGGAGGATGGCCCAAGTGCTTGGGCCCTGCACCCCATGGGAGACCAGGAGAAGCACCTGGCTCCTGCCATGGGATCAGCACGTTGCGCTGGCCGCAGCGCACCAGCTGCGGCGGCCATTGGAGGGTGAACCAATGGCAAAGGAAGACCTTTCTCTCTGTCTCTGTCTCTCTCTCTCACTGTCCACTCTGCCTGTCCAAAAAAAAAAAAAAAAAAAAATTGATACAACAATTAGACACAAAATCAATAAGGAAAAGGAAAACTTGAACACAATGAACCAAGTTGATCTAACTGATTTTTATACAACACACCACCCAACAATAGCAGAATATACATTCTTTTCAAACACACAAGGAACTTTACCAAGATCATAATTAAACTTATTTAAATAATAAAAAATGTGGTTCTCTGATACATTGGAATTAAATTAGAAATCAACAACACAAAATAGTATGGAAAATCATCAATATTTGGAAGCTACTCTCACACACACACACACACACACACACACTAAATACCCATGGAACAAACATGATACCAAAAGTGAAATAAATTCTTTTAAGCTAACTGAAATGAAGTCATAAGAAAAAAAAATCTGTGGGCTACAAATAAAGCAGTACTTGAAATGAAATTTGCAGAACTTTATAAAGTATATTAGGAAAGAAAATGGGCCAGTGCCATGGCTCATTTGGCTAATCCTTTGCCCATGGCGCTGGCACCCTGGGGTTCTAGACCCAGGTGGGGCGCCCGGTACTAGTCCCGGTTGCTCCTCTTCCAGTCCAGCTCTCTGCTGTGGCCCAGGAGGGCAGTGGAGGATGGACCAAGTGCTTGGGTCCCTGCACCTGCATAGAAGACCAGGAGGAAGCACCAGGCTCCTGGCTTCAGATCGGTGCAGTGCCAACCGTAGTGGCCATTGGGGGAGTGAACCAATGGAAGAAGACCTTTCTCTCTGTCTCTGTCTCTCTCTCTCACTGTGTATAACTCTACCTGTCAAAAAAATAAAAAAGTCTCCTTAAATGATTGATTAATTATCAAGCTTCCACCCTAAGAAACAAGAAAAGGGACAGGTATTTGGTACAGTGGTTAGGTAAGTTGTTACCTGGAATGCATGCATCTCATATCAGGGTGCTTGGTTTGTGTCCCATTCCTACAAATTCAATCCTGGGGAGACAACAGGTACTTGGGTCTCTGCCACCCACATGGGAGACCCAGATAGAGTTCCAGGTTCCTAGCTTCAGGGTCAACCACTTCTGGCTGTTGCAGGCATTTGAGGAGTGAACTAGTAGATGGAAAATCTCTCGCACTTGCTTGCACTCATGCTTGCTCACTCTCTCTCTACCTTTCAAAAAAAAAAATGAAAACTTAAAAAAAGAAGACATTAACAATGTAAGAGCAAATGAAATTCAAACTAGAAGAAAATAAATAATAAGAATTATAAGGAAAATCAAATAAGTTGAAAACAGAAAAATAACAGAAAATCAATGATGCAAAAGATTATTGTCTTAAAAAGTTACTAAAATCGGTAAACTTCAAGTCAGGCTAATCAAGAAAGAAAGAGAAAATGCAAATTACCAATATCAGGTATGAGAAAAATAACATCACTACAGATATTAAAGGGTAAAAAAGGGAAAGGAATGAAAATTTTATGGCAATAAAACTGACAACTTAGATTAAATGGACAAATTCCTTGAAAGACACAAGGTAACAAAGCTCCCCTGAGAAGAAATAATAAGCTGAATAATTACTTTTTTATTAAGGAAATTAAATTTATAGTTAAAAATATTCCCACAGGCTGGTGCCGTGGCTCAAATGGCTAATCTTCCGCCTGTGGCACCAGCACCCCGGGTTCTGGTTCTAGTCCAGGTTGGGGCGCCAGATTCTGTCCCGGTTGCTCCTCTTCCTGTCCAGCTCTCTGCTGTGGCCCGGGAGGGCAGTGGAGGATGGCCCAAGTGCTTGGGCCCTGTATCTGCATGGGAGACCAGGAGAGGCACCTGGTTCCTGGCTTCAGATCGGTGCAGTGCGCAGGCTGTAGCGGCCATTTAGGGGGTGAACCAACGGAAGGAAGACCTTTCTCTCTCTCTCTCTCTCTCTCACTGTCTAACTCTGCCTGTCAAAAAAATAAAATAAAATAAAAAATAAAAAAAATATTCCCACAAAGAAGATTCAGGCATAAAAGTCTTATTCAGTGAATTTTACAAAGCATTTAAGGAAGAAATAATGCTAATTCTACATTCACTGTCCCCCAAAATTGAGGAGAAATGATGTACTAACTCATTTTATGAGGCCAGGGGTCCTTAATATCAAATCCAGACAAAGACATTACAAGTAAAGAATACAAACTAATGTTCCTCATGAACATAGACACAAAAAAAGTTAGCATAATTTTCGCAAAACTAATCCACAATGTATAAAAAGGGTGATATATCATGACTAAGTGTAGAATTTATCCCAGGAGCCCAACAATGATTTTAACATTCTTAGATCAAGCAATATAATTCACCACAATAACAGAGTAAAAAAGAAAAACAACATAGTCATTCTTGGTAAAAGAAAAAGCAAATGTCTATTCCTCAAAAAATTCTCAGAAAGTTGGAAATAAATGGGAACTTCTTCAACCTAATTAAAGGTACAGTGGTCTCCACTTACCCATGGTTTCACTTTCCATAGTTAAAGTTACCCAGTTAATGGCAGTCCAAAAATATCGAACGGAAAATTTTAGAATATACAATTCACTAGTTCTAAACTGTGCACTGCTCTGAAAAGCATGATAAATTCTCATGTCATCCTGCTCCAACCTTTGTGGGGTGTGAAACCCCTTTGTCCAGCATGTCCACAACTGCATGCACTACCTGCCCACAAGACACTTGGTAACCATCTTAGTTATCAGACCAACAATCGCAACGTCATAGTGCTTATGTCCCTGTCACCCTTATTTTACTTAATAATGGCCCCAAAGCACCAAAGTCATGATGGTGGGAACTTGGGTATGCCAAAGCAGAAAAGCAGAAAGCTCTTAATAAGGAAAGATTTTAAAAACTGTATGTTTACATTGCTAAGATCTATAGTAATTATTGCTAATCTCTTTCTGTGCTTGATTTATGAATGAAACTTTCTCCTAGGTACATATGAATAGGAAAAAATACAGCATACAAGTGGCTTGGTACTATCCACAGTTTTAGGCATCCACTGGTAGTTTTAGAACATGTCCCTGTGGATAAGAGGAACTACTGCATGTATGGAAAACCCACAGGTAACATATTTCAAAACTATAAAAGTCTGAATGCCTTTCTCCTAAGATCAGGACAGGACAAGGATGTTTGCTTCATTATTTCTACTTATGATTTTCCTGAAGATTCTACCCAATACAATAAAATAATAAAAATAAATGAGACTTATAGATTAGAAAGAAAGAAATATGCTTGGGGTTATACTTGTGTGCTGTAAATGACATAATCCTCATAAAAAATGCTATGTGTTGGAGATGACATCCTCACTACATAAAAATACTATGGGACCACAGCACGCCGGCTGCGGCGGCCATTGGAGGATGAACCAACAGCAAAGGAAGACCTTTCTCTCTGTCTCTCTCTCTCACTGTCCACTCTGCCTGTAAAAAAAAAAATACTATGGGATTTACTTGAGTAAATTTACTCAAGTAAGGTACTAGAACTGGTCAGTTCATCTAGGCTGTAAGACACAAACACAATATACAAAGATCAACCTAAAGCAGCAATGAATGATTGGAAGCTAGTATTT